TATTTTCTTCATTTTGTTTCCATTTGGTTAGTGTTAATTGTACTAAGCTGTCGTTTTTTTTTTCTCTCTCACTTTTCTCTTTCTCTCACCTTTACCTTCTCACTCTCACCCCACTTCTCTCTCTCTCTCTCTCTCTCTTTCTCTTTCTCTTTCTCTCTCTCTCTCTCTCTCTCTCTCTCTCTCTCTCTCTCTCTCTCTCTCTCTCTTTTCTTTCTCTCTCTCTCTTTCCCTCCCTCTCCCTCTGTCCCTCTCTCCCTCTGTCTGTTTATCTCTAACTCGCATCTCTCTCTCTCTCTATCTATCTATATATATATCTATCTATCAATTTATCTATATCCCCTTTATCTCTTCTTTCCCCCTCTCTCTCTGATTCAGCCCTTACCCTATTTGCATTTCTCCCTCTCCATTTTCTCCATTTCTTTCCCTTCAACTCACAATGTTTATTCCCCCTTTTTCTACCCCACTCCCTTCCCCTTTTCCATCCCCTCTTTCACTCGCCATTAAAGCCCCCCCCCCTCCATTCCACCCTTCCCCCCCCCCAACATACCCTTCCATCCTCTCCTTATCTCCCACGGGTCTTCCTATCTCTCAGCTTTCCATTATTCTCCCCCCCTCCCCTTCCCCCTCCCCCCTCTCAAAAAAAAAAAAAAAAAAAAAAAAAAAAGAGAGAGAGAGAAAGAGAGAGAAAACAATTATATGTCTTATCGTATGTCTCCTTCTTATCTCTTCCAGACAAAGATACACAGATTAGGTTCTCGGTCGACGGTGAGCTACACACCCAACACAGAACTGGACTACGGCACGTTGCTCTGCTGGGGGACTAATTCTGTAGGATTGCAACGTCACCCTTGCGTCTTCCATGTGTTTCCTGCGGGTGAGTTTCGTGGGGCTGGGCTTTCGTATGGCTGTATTTGCTGCTGTTGTTGTTGTTGGGGAGGGGGGTTCTGTTGTTGTTGGGTTTCTTATCTTGTTCGTTGTTTTTGTTATCTTTATTGTTATCATTGTTATCATCACCATCACATCACTATCACCACCACTATCATCATCATCAATATAATTGTCATCCATACTGTTATCGTGAAATTATCATAAAATTACCATTACCTTCATTATCATTGTCATTATTGCTATTCACATCGTTCCCTTCCGTTTCATTGTTTGTACTTGTATTTGTCAAGAAAATATCTTTACTATTTTCATATTATTAGTTTATATATAACGCATGCAGATACACACAACACACACACACACACACATGTATATATATATATATATATATATATATATATATATATATATATATATATATATATATATATATATATATATATATATATATATATATATGTATTTATATATGTACATATATATATATATATATATATATATATATATATATATATATATATATATATATATATATGTACATATATATATATATATATATATATATATATATATATATATATATATATATATATATATATATATATATATATACATATATCTCAAGATAGTTTACCTCGAGATCATTTCGCATCGACAACTCTTCTCCAGCAAATTAATTAAGAGGGAAAAAATGCTTAAAAATAGCTCACGTTCTTAGGGGATCCTGAAGGTACCACAAAGGCCATTGGCGGCGAGGAATGGGATTTCAGCTAATTAGTATAATGGATAAACTGCCCTTTTGCTAGAAAAATGATCTTCATTACAAAAAGACTACTACAGAAGCCTTACAAAAATAGCTAGTAAGTACCAAACCAGGAAAAAAAATTAATTCAGGATATAATCCGTTATAATCATGAGTATGACAATGCAGATTTTTTATATAGCAATCTGTTTTCCTTAAAAGTGAAATGTATTTTTTTCTTTCTTTCTTTTTTTTTCCTTTACCGTACCGCCCTCTCTTGTGCCTCGAGGCTGCAACAAGGCACGACACACAAACCCACTTAAGCATACGGATTTCCATAAACCATGCCTGGGCGAAAGCCACTTCGGAATTTAATGGTATATTATTACAATTTCCGAGTACACTAAAACTACATTTTATACTTAGACTACGTTAAGCCACGTGGGTTTGAACTGTATTTTCAGAGCAGGAAAAATATACAAAAAAAAATATACAGTGCATCATCCAAGGTACAATCACCTGTTTCATTATTCAAACGTATCATTTGTAAGAAAATCTAAAGCTATCAAATTTATAGGTATCAAAGGTATATGCAATATATACCAAAACGGAGCTTTTCGCAGTCTTCATTAATCTAACAAAGTTTCTCTTCTGTCTATTTTCTTTTTATTCATCATCATCATAATCATTATCATAATTATTATCATTACATTATCATTATCATTATCATTATGAGCATTATCAGTATGAACATCATCATTATCATTATTATTTTTATTGTTGTTATTGTTATTCCTGTTATTATCATTATCATTCTCATCTTCATCATCATGATCTTCATCCTCATCATTATCATAATTACTTTTTCAT